ATTAATTAATAATAATATAAAGTTAATTAATTTATATAATTATAATCTATATTAAAAATTAAAAACATAAAAAATATAATAACAAAATATTATAAAAGTTGAAGGTCAAAATTGAAAATATCAAAAGGTTAAAACTGAAAAATAATATACAGTAGGGTGTACAGAAAATATAGTTGGAAGACTGTAGGAGGTGGTGGGGTTAGAAAACCACGCCCCGGCCTGCACTATATAAGTGGATTTTCTGATGGTTTTTTTGAGCAAGACGAAAAGGCACCGTCAAGGGGTAGCCTATCTATCTACACAATTCTCTCTCTTCGAGTCTTCGTTCGTGATCATGTTGGGCGAAAGGTAGTTCTAGAGGAGCTGCTGTGAAAGGGTTCAGGAAGAGGAAGAGGAAGAGGAAGAGGGAAGAGGAGGAGGAGCGGTGCAACAAAGAGGAAGAGGAAGAGGAGGAGGAGGAGCAGGAGGCGGTGTTGAGAAAGGTGCGATGAAGAGGAAGAGGAAGAGGAAGAGACCGTTAAGAGGTGTTGAGAAAGATGTGATGACTTCATTTACGAATGATACTGTTCCGGTGGTGGTCGAGAGCTCTATCACCATTGATGCGCCAACCAACCATAGGCCATCCGTCGCTATAACCTTTCCTTCCCGATCTATCGGCTTATTATCCCTTATATTTGGTCCAGTACAACGGTCAATGGCTTCTCTGCATAACCTGTGGACTAACTATTACCCGCCGGGAGCATTTGGGGAAGAAAGTGCACTCATGCCCGGATCCGATCTTAACTTCATAATTATCGGCTTACTTGCTTTTGTAGGAATCAAGGCACAAGGAAATACTGGATTTCCTTTCCAAACGAACCCTAGGACCACGATGGTCTCCGTCAGCAGTCTCATAACGTTTGCCGTAGCTTCCTCAGCCAAACACGTCTTTTCTGTTGGACGTCCTGCTCTCACTTCCATTTATACTGTTGTTGCTCGCTTGGGAAGGATGGTTTCTTTGGTAACTTTGGTAGGATCCTTGACACTTCTGTTATATTTATGATTATACGATATTTTTATTCATATTTGACATCTCTTTTAGTTGGTCTGCACTGCATTATATCTATCCTGTTTGTTCAAAATTTAAGACCCTGTCTTCATACTATTGGAGTATTAGTGTGTTAGGGTAGTTTGGTAAGTTCTATTCGTATTGAGTTAGTATAAATAGGTGTCTATGTATGGATCTCATTTATGTAAGCAATACATTCGTCTGTTTCTATTTTCCTAATTTGGGAACTGATATATTTAAGACCCTGTATTCATACAAAGATGATGTTATCAATTAGGGGCAAGACTTTGAGTTCCACTGTGTTCATGAAAGATATCATGSTTTCACTTTGTATTTTAGTGATTTTTCTGATGGAAATGGATCTTGTATTCAATGATGATGCCTCAAATCTTGCTTCTTTTCTAAATTAAGTAGATCTGAATTGCTCTTTATCGGTATTCCACCTCGTTCTGTATGGGTATTAAATGTGGATTGTGA